CACGTGTCCTCTCAAGCCGCGTGGCCCCAAAGTCCATGCCCAGGACACAGCCCAGCAGAGTGACTCAGAGCAAGCATTCCGGGCTCTGCTATTTATTAGTCGTGTGGCCTTGGGCAAATTATTTCATTTTCCTCAGCCTGGTTTCTAATCTGCAAAATGGGGATAAGAACATCACCTCCCTAATAGGGTGAGGATGAGGACTAAATGGGACAATGCCAGCCAAGGGGTTAGCTTAATGCTGACCCATAGTGAAGGCTCAGTTGCTGTAAGGAATATTTATTATTACCAGCCTTCTCCCTTAGGGGCTTCTCGACTTGAGTCAGATTGCTTTAGGAGCTTACGAATTTTCTGGAAAACACTGGCCTTTCCGTGGTCATCTGGGCTATTTTATGTGGACACTGCTGTGATGTTTTTCTTTGAGGGGTGGATGGGGCTTTACTTTTACTTTTACTTAGAGCCAGGGCAGGGATTATTCTGACCTTTGAGAAGTAGAAGATTAATAAACAAGTGACCATGAGCCAGAGTCACTGTGGGCGTTGCTCTGGTGTTTCATTCTTGCCGGGTTTCTGAAATTGGTTCCTGGTTCAGGCTAGAGGAGCTCTTAGGAGCACCGTGTGCTACCCCCGAGTGCCCTGATGTGGACGCACATAAATAACACAGATGTTAATATGTCTGTTCATTCATTGCCGTGGTACAGGGGAAAGAACATGGGCTTTGAGTCTTGGGGACCTCAGTTTGAATCCTCACTCTGCCACTTGCAGGCTGTGTTTCCATAGCTGTGAGTGGGGAAAGTTATGAAAACAAAGCTAACAGTTATAGAATGCTTACTGTATGCTGGGAGCTGTTCTTTTTACATGTTAACTCATTGAATTGTTAAAAAGTTAATAAACTTTATTTTTTAAAGCAATATTAAGTTCATAGCAAAATTGAGCTAAAAGTAGAGAGTTTCCACATACCGCCTTCACCCTCCCCACCACCAGCCTTCCCCACTATGAACATCTCACACACCACAGTGGTGTATTTGTTACACCTGATGAACCTACACTGACAGATCATCATCACCCAAAGTCTGCAGTTTACATTAGGGTTCACTCTTGGTGTTGTACATTCTGTGGGTTTGGATAAATGTATAACGACATGCATCCATCATTGTAATATCATATAGAGTAGTTTCACTGCCCTAAAAATCCTCTGTGCTCTGCCTGTTCATCCCTCCCTTATCCCAATCCTGACAACACCTGATCTTTTTATGGCCTCCATAGTTTTACCTTTTCCAGGATGTCACAGAGTTGGAATCATATAGCCTTGTCAGATTGATTTCTTTCACTTAGTAATAAGCATTTGTTTCCTCCATGTCTTTTCATGGCTTGATAGCTGGTTTCTGAATAATAATCCATTGTCTGGATGTACCACAGTTTAACCATTCAGCTACTGAAGGACATCTTGGTTGCTTATAAGTTTTAGCAATTAAAAATAAAGCTGTTATATCCGTGTGCAGGTTTTTGTGTGGTTATAAGTTTTCAACTCCATTGGGTAAAGAACAAGGAGGACAATTGTTGGGTCACATGGGAAGAGTGTGTTTAGTTGTATAAGAAACTGCAAACTGCATTATCAGAAAATCCACAAACAACAAATGCTGGAGAACGTGTGGAGAAAAGGGAACCCTCTTGCACTGTTGGTGGGAATGTGAATTGATACAGCCACTATGGAGAACAGTATGGAGGTTCCTTAAAAAACTAAAAATAGAACTACCATACGACCCAGCAATCCCACTACTGGGCATATACTCAGAGAAAACCATAATTCAAAAAGACATGCACCCCGATGTTCATTGCAGCACTATTTACAATAGCCAGGACACGGAAGCAACCTAAATGCCCATCAACAGATGAATGGATAAAGAAGATGTGGTACATATATACAATGGAATATTACTGAGCCATAAAAAGGAACGAAATTGGGTCATTTGTAGAGACGTGGATGGACCTAGAGACTGTCATACAGAGTGAAGTAAGTCAGAAAGAGAAAAACAAGTATCGCATATTAACGTATATATGTGGAACCTAGAAAAATGGTACAGATGAACCAGTTTGCAGGGCAGAAAGTGAGACACAGATGTAGGGAACAAATGTATGGACACCAAGAGGGGAAAGCGGGGCAGGGGTGGGGGTGGTGGGATGAATTGGGAGATTGGGATTGACATGTACACACTAATAGATAACTAATAAGAACCTGCTGTATAAAAAATTAATTAATTAAATTAAAAGAAAAACTCAAAACTGCCAAACTGTCTTCCACAGTGGCTGTGCCGTTGTGCGTTCCCACCAGCAACGAATGAGCGTTCCTGTTGCCCCACACTCCCACCAGCATTTGATGTTGTCAGTGTTCTGGAGTTTGGCCTTTCTATTAGGTGTGTAATAGTACCTCGTTGTTTTAATTTGCAATTCTCTATGACACGCGATGTAGAGTATTTTTTCAAATGCTTATTTGCCATCTGTATATCTTCTTTGGTGAAGTGACTGTTCATGTCTTTGGCCCATTTTTAAATCAGATTGTTTGTTTTCTTATTGATGTGTTTTAAGAGTTCTTTGTTTATTTTGGATAACATTTCTTTATTAGACGTGTCTTTTGCAAATATTTTCTCCAAGTCTGTCGCCTGTCGTCTCATTCTCTTGACATTGTCTTTTACGGAGCACAAGTTTTTAATTTTAATGAGGTCCAGCTTGCCAGTTCTTTCTTTCATAAATGTCCTTGGTGCTGTATGCAAAAAATCATTGCCGTAGCCAAGGTCACCTAGGTTTCCTCCTATGGTATCGTCTAGCAGTTTTGTGTATTTGTCTTTTACATTTAGGTCTATGAGTCATTTTAATTTTTGTGAAGGGTGTAAGGTCTGTGTTTAGACTCTCTCTTTTTGCCTGTGGATGTCCAGCTGTTCCAGCAACATTTGTTGAAAACACTAAACTCATTTGATTTTCAAAATAGACTTTGAGGCAGGCATTATTAGCCCACTTTTTCAGATAAAGAAACTGAGGCACAGAGAGGTTTTGTAAGTCACCCAGAGTAACACAGCTAGCCTTGACCGAGCTGGAATTTGAACCCAGGCAACCTGGCTCCCGAGTCCATGCACTCAATCCCTATCTATAAAAATAATGTCTCCCTCAGGGACTTCACTGGGGGTCCAATGGTTAAGACTTCGCCTTCCAATGCAGGGGTGCGGGTTTGATCCATGGTCGGGGAGTTAAGATCTCACATGCCTCGTGGCCAAAAAACCAAAAAATATAAAACAGAAGCAATATTGTAACAAATTCAATAAAGACTTTAAAAATGGTCGACATTAGGGCTTCCCTGGTGGCGCAGTGGTTGAGAGTCCGCCTGCCTAATGCAGGGGATGCAGGTTCGTGCCCCGGTCTGGGAAGATCCCACATGCCGCGGAGCGGCTGGGTCCGTGAACCATGGCCGCTGAGCCTGCGCTTCCAGAGCCTGTGCTCTGCAACGCGAAAGGCCACAACAGTGAGAGGCCCGCGTACCGCTCAAAAAAAAAAAAAAAAAAAAAAAATCGTTGACATCAAAAAGATCTTTTAAAAAAATGTCTCCCTCATACATTTGTTGTGAGGAATAGAGATAGTGTCTAGCACATAGTAGCTGCTCAGAAAGCAATAGTGATAATCATTGTCCTACTTAGCTTCCAAGGTTCCGCTCAAATGGCATGTCCTCAGAGCAGCTTTCTTTCATTCCTCCAGCCAAATAAGCCATCCATTATAGCGTCATCTCATCATCCAAGGGATGACAGCGTGGTGAATCCCCCTGCAGTCAAAGTTCACTACCAGCCCCCGCCCTCACCATGTGAGTTCCCTGGAGAGACGCTCCAGGTCTGATAGCTCTATGTCCCTCAGAGTGTGCTGCACTTGGCACTTAGCAGGATCTCAGTAAAAGTGTGCTGCATTGAGTTTGGGTTACATGCTATTCCTTTATCCAACATGCACATTCTGGGTTTGGTCTATTCCTCAGGATCTCTCAGTTCTTACTCAGCTCTTAGCTCCTGAGCCCCCTTGCTTGAACCTTCCCTGGTCTGTCAGGTTGGGCCACCCCTGCCAGAAGTTCCTGGTTGGGCTGTTTATGGAGGCAGCTGCCCTTGTCTGCTACACCCTTTTACCTGCACCACCCCACTCAGTTTCTTCCACGCTCTGGGGTACCTCCCTTCAGTATGGACACTGCCCGTAGAAATGCCCACCTCTCTCTCTCAGCTCAAGGCATAGCACCTGTCTTGGAGGTCTGGTCTCTAAATGTCTCTGGCCTCTTCCAGAAAGTCTAAAATTCCTTCTCAATGGGTAGAGCAGCTCACCCAATATTGATAGGACATGAGGACCCAGGGGCAGACCTCATTCCAAAGAGCTTCTGAAAGCTGTTAATCTTGGCATTGCTGGACTCCTTTGGGGAGTGAGTGCCATTTATGGCTATGACTCCTGGGCCTTGGCTCATCCTTTAGGCAGCTCCACCTGAGGCAGGGCTCTCTCAGGCCAAGCCACCAGGAGGCTGCGTCCACCTTGGGGAGTACATTCTTCCAGTGCCACCTTGGGCATGGCTGGCAGTGCCTGCTTTGGACTAGGCCATCTGGCATCCTCCAGCAGCACCCTATGTCTGTCTCTGCAGAGCCACGCTGGGACGATGTGGCCCGCGAGGCTCAGGTGTTCTCTCTGGACAGCACTGTCCTGGGCAGCACCCTCTTGGACACAGCCAGCGAGTCCACCAGTGCCTGCCGCGGACAGAGCCTGTTCCATACATTCAGCATGACCCCGGGGCCTGCCCTGGGCACGCTCAGCAGCCCCCAGTGCCCAGTGCAGACAGGATCTCCAGGCAGGGCCTCTCGGACCCGGACCGAGGCCTCCAGGGCAGCTCCCGGTGCCCGCCTGGCCCGCTCTGGAGGCGCGCCCAGGCGCTGCCAGGAAGGCCGGCCGTTTATTCCCGGAGCCGCCAGCAGGGAGCTCCCTTTCGGCTCGGCTCGTGCGGCCGCGGGGGGCGGCGCTGCGCTGCGCCGTGCTGCGCTCCTGCCCGGACCGGGCCGGGGCCGCTGGATGCCGCGTCTTCGCTCTTGCTGCCTGCCGGGCGGGCTCCGGCGGCCGGTGAGTGCGGGGCGGCGGGGATGGCCGCTCGGTAGCGGGCCGGGCCCGGGGTGGGGGTGAGGGGGGCGGCGGGGCGGGCTCGGGCCGGGAAGGCGGGCGGGCGGCGGGGCCCGCCGGCTCCTCCTCCTCCCCTGTCCCCTGGAAGCGGCGGCCCGGACTCCCGGCTCCGGTCCCTGGCCGTGCCGCGCAGCTCGGCGCCGGGACGCGGGGCCGACCGGGAGGCGGGCGGGAGGGCGAGCTCCGGCCCCTTTTGCCACCTCGAGGGGCGGGGGGAGGCCGGACAGGGTGGCCTTCAGTTTCGGGGGGGCGTTCGGGGCTCGGGGGAGCCCAGGTGGCCCCGAGCTGCGGGGTGGAGGCTGCAGCCCGGGGGGTAGGGGGCTTCTCGAGGCCAGGCCCAGGCCCCCCAGACAGACTGACGGACCGAGGCTCTGAGGAAGGCAGCGGGGAAGGCGAGCACCTCCACCGAGTCCTTTATCCCTCCCAGCGGCCTTCACCCTTTCATTGCCAGGCCGACACCGGACTCCTCTCAAAGGAGCAGCTGCCAGACAGCTGGCAAAACAATGGAGACCCTGCTTCCCTGGGCCCCCTCCCCTTGGGGCAGAAGACGGGGGGCGGGTGGGTGAACGGTAGGCTTTGGGGATTAGGGCGTGCCAGCTGTCCCCTGCGAATGGCTGCTCACCTCACCTCTCCCTGCCAAGGGGTGGGGTGCGTGTGGGAAGGTTGGACTATCTGCCCCAGGCCTCTGGGAGAGACTGCCCTGATGCCCCGCCCTGCGAACCTGTCATGCCAGTTGCTTCGCCAATGGGAAGGGGGAGATGGTAAGGTTCGCTGCCCCCCACCCCCTTGTTGGGGGTGCCGCTGGTACCAAGCCTGGTGAGGAGTGGGTCCTGTTCCTGGCTGAGATAAGGCCTGCAGGGACACACCGCACATTGGAGCTTTGTTTGGGGGTAGGGGTGCAGTGGGGGATGGCGGTGTCACCCTGTTGCAAGGCATGTGTGTCCTGCTGATTAGTTGGAAAGGCTGCCGGCCAGAATGAGCTGGCGGGGAGCGTGAGGATGGGGGAGGCTGCCAGTTCGTTTTTTAAGCGGTACTCCTTTTGCCTGGTCCCTTGGCCAATGGGGCATGTGTTTGGCAGTGTCCTCATGGTTTGTGTTTGTGTAGGGAGGCCTGGGATGGTGCTTCCTGGGAAGAGCTTTCCTGCCTAGGGCCTTCCTGCCCTCAGATGGTCCCCCCAAATTATGGAATTGGATTCCCTCCCCTCTTCACCTTGCCAATGATTTATGTAGGTTCGTTTTGTCTGTTGGAGTGCCTAGCATGTCTGTGGCTGAGGAGGCCTAGTAAATCCTCCATGGAGAGCGAATGGTGCCGAGTGTGTCTGCACTGCGGCCATGCTGGAAGGGATGGAAGGTTGTCTAGGTGATTAAGAGCAAGAACACCTTAGCAAGACATTGAACCTAGAGGTTCAAGCTGCCTTTCCATGTGCTTACCAGGTCTGGAGCCCTTTTCTTGGGCTGGTTGGTATCCTGTTGTCATGGCAATGGAGTTGGCCTTGCCTCATGTTCCCCACCCTATTAGCTCAGGGGCTACTTTCTAGTTGGAGATATTGAAAATTGCTCTCTTGAGGTCTCTGGTTTCCGGACAGACCTCACTGGGTCTTTGTCAGTGGCCTGCCCTCTGTCCTTTTGTGATGAGGACTTTCCAGGAAGCATCCTCCTGGTTGCTGGACATGACTGGTTATATATAGCTTTGGGTGGAGGTGTGCTTGTACATTTGGGGTTGGGAACATTGGAGTTGGGGCCTCAATTCCAGGAAGATGATGGGGGAAGCTATTGTGTTGGGGGGTTAGGGGAATGAGAAGCATCACAGGTGGGAGTGGAGGGTGGGTGAGGAATGGGTAGAATGCTGATGGTCACTTCCTGTGGGAGCTTTGAGCTTTGAACAGTCGATGACCTGGCACCTGGCAGCTCTGAATATCTAGTTTGTTTACTCCTGTCTCCTGGCCTGACTCAGGTGCCAGGGTGTGTGTCCCAGGGCTTCCTCTCACGATCCAGGCTCTCCTCAGAAACCTTCAGGTGGATTGTGCCCTTCCTGACTCCTGCCTGGTCCCTCAACCTCACTGCCTGGCAGTCTGGGCAGCCAGCCTGTTGGCTGGAGACCACTTCACTGGCCTAGCTTGAGGCTGTTCATTGAGGGGTGCATGTGTCTTCAGAAGCTGGGCCTGAAAACTCCAGGGTCCCCCAGTGGCAGGTACCTGAAGGTTGACTGGGAGGGGCAAAAGTGGGGCTTGTGTGAAAGGAAGAATCCACCCTCTTAGGTGGAGCAGGGAGTTGTTGGAACTCAGGAAGGCTTGATTCAGACTTGCTGTGTCACAGATCTCCAGGGCAGCAGGGCTGTTCTTACTCCTTCTCAACCAGAGGTCTGTCCCCAGCCAGACCTCCTTCACCTGGAGTGGATACCACAGACTGGAGCCAGAGCATCCACGTGAGCAGGGTCCTGTTGGTGGCCCTGAGCCCCAGTCCTAGGCCTCTCCTGGGTGTGGTGGGTAAAGCTGAGGGGCTCTGGCCTGATATAGTTTAAAGGTTTGAGGGGTTGGGAGGGCCCAGCCCACCCTGTGCTATGATTAACAGGTTTCCCCAGGACTTGGGTTGGGGGCTTGATGGAGCTTTTAAGTTCTGCTTTGGGTCAGGCCCCGGGGTTCTTTAAGATCTGCTCACTGCACCTCACCCCCCATCACCATTTTCTGAGGCAGCCTGAATTAGAGGGTGGGGTGGTGCAGTAGTGGGAACTGGATTGGGAAGGGTGGGGAGCAGACTTGGAAACCCCCGCACCCTCCGCCCCTCACTTTCCTGCCCTTTTTCTTGAGGTAGGAATTGTGTGGCTTGTAAATTATCCACATTCCCTTGACGTTTCAAATAGTTTACAGTCAGGCAGCAGTTTAAATTGTGGACTGAGGATTTTACAGGGCCCAGGGCCCTTTCTCGCAGCCAGGTACTTTATAGTCACTTACAAGGAATTATTTTTGGTATTCTCTAGTATTCAGAGATGTTGGATGATGGGCTGTAGGTCACACAGCAAATCAGAGGGAGAGCGGGATTAGAACCTCAAGTTTGTGGTTGAGCAGAATACCTCTTCAGCGAAACCCAAGTCTGAAGTCTCAGGCCCATGGAGATTTTAGAGTTGAAAAAGCTGAGGTCTAGAGAGAGGACGGGACTTGCTCAAGGTCACACAGGAGGTGGGGTGTTGGGGTGTTAGCTGAGCTTAGCGCCCAGCGGGCTGCGGCAGGCCCCGCGGGGGGCCAAGGAGGTGCATCTGGAAGAGCCGCCGGGGACCTGGCCGGGCTTCTGGCACGTCTCCCGCTCTCGTTTCTCCCGGGGCCTGCGGGATTGTTGCGTTCCAGGGGAGACGGTATCGCAGCGGAGGCGCCGCGGGGCTGCGTCTGCGCCGGCCCGGCTGCCTGGAGGTGCCGAGGGCCGAGGGTTCCCGGCGCTGCGGCGGGCAGGGCAGGGAGCCGGCTGCCGGGCGGCCGGGCCGGCTGATGTCATGTGAGAAGCGTGCAGACGGAGTGAGCGAGCACACCTGGAGCCAGAGAAGCTCCATGTGACCTGGCAGTGAGTCATGGGCCGCGGCGGGGCTCAGCAGGACCAACGGCAAGAAGCTTCACGGCGGCGGCGACAGGCGTCACCCAGCGCTGCCTGGGCCGGGCGAGCCCCCCTGGGCCACGCGTGCAATTCCTCGGTCCGGGCGGGCGGGCGGGCGAGCGCCCCATCAAGGCCTCGGGGCGGTAGGAAACGGCCGCTCAGGGAGGTCAGAGGCCAAGGGAGAGAGGCCGGCTCTCTTGGGAAAGTATTTCCTTTGTATTTATTTATGAGTGTGGTCGAGGGTGGGAGGACTGGCCTTTTTAAGTATACACCCACAGCAGCCAAGTCTGGGCGCCCTTTTCTTGGGATTCTAATGTTATAGTTTCCATTTCCTGGGGTTTCTACTTTGCCAGCTGCAGGGTGACCCATTTAAATCTGTCCCCACTTAAAGCCACAAGACACTAGTGAGATCTATTTTAACCAAGTCCCCCAAGTCACTGAAACATTTTCAAAGCATGAGATGGCCAGCTTTGAACTTGTCGTTGCAAACCGGTTTACAGCTTTAATGCCAAATGGATTGCTTATTACTTTGTCGCACCTTCCTTTTTTCTTCTTTGATCTTTAAAATCACAAAAGTAACATGCTAAAAAAAGGTTTTTTCTGTAGCAAGTCTATGAGGTAGAAAGCTGAAGTGTTACCCCTCTTTGCCATTATTCCACAGAGAAAAATCACTGATATATTTGTGTAACAGATCTTTCCAGACTATTTTTTAAAAGCTTGTTATGAATATTTTATATATTATGTATTTATAGTTTAATACTTATATGTTATATAAATAGATGTGTGTGTGTGTGTGTGTGTGGTACGCGGGCCTCTTACTGCTGTGGCCTCTCCCGTTGCGGAGCACAGGCTCTGGACGCGCAGTCTCAGCGGCCATGGCTCACGGGCCCAGCCGCTCCGCGGCATGTGGGATCTTCCCGGACCGGGGCACAAACCCGTGTCCCCTGCATCATCAGGCGGACTCTCAACCACTGCACCACCAGGGAAGCCCCTACCTCATTCTTTTAAATAACTGCTAAGTTCTATGATTTAGCCACTCCCCTAGTGATGGACATTTATAGAGACAGAATTTTGCTATTATGAAACAGCAAAGATTAGCCATGTTTATTGTGCTGCAAAGATTAGCCATGTTTATTGTGTGAATATATCTATAGATGTCCTATAAATGGAATGGCCCTGTCAAAGAATATGTACCTTTAAATATTTTCGTAGATACCACACACTTGCCCTCCTTTTATCAACTTATATTCCCAGCAACACATTTGGGACACCCTGCTTCTCATCCTCTGATTGATTGATGTTAGCTTGGTAGTTTTTACTAAACTGCTAAATGAATGCAGTATACCTCTGTTTTATTTCACA